AAACTTCAAAAACAGACTCCAACGAGAAACTGCAGAACTGGAATTAATTTGCAAACTGGACACCATTAAATTAGACTTGATAAAGACTGGGAGTGGATGGGTCATTACACAAGTAAAAACTAATTTCCCCCAATGCTAATTTTTACCCCTACTGTTACTCACACCTTCTTGTCAACTGTTTGAAATGGGCCATCCTGATTATCACTACAAACGTTTTTTTTTTCCTCCTGCTAATAGCCCACCTTAATTGATTAGTCTCATTAGAATTGGTATGGTAACACCCATTTTTTCATGTTCTCTGTGTGTGTGTGTGTGCGCGCTCTTTCTCCCTCCCCCCCCCCCCGGAGTCACTGCTTTACCACGTTGTATCAGAATTCGTGTTATATCAGGTCACATTATATCGGGGTACTGTGTGTGTGTATATAATATATAATCTTCCTATTGTATTTTCCACTGCATGCATCCGATGAAGTAGGTTTTAGCCCACGAAAGCTTATGCCCAAATAAATTTGTTAGTCTCTAAGGTGCCACAAGTACTCCTCGTTCTTTTTGCTGATACAGACTAACATGGCTACCACTCTGAAATGAGATTCTGAGTTTGTCTTGGTTCTGCTGCTGACTCATTGTCTCCTTGATAAGTCACCAGACCTTTCTGTCTCAGTCCTTGTGGTTGTGAAGTGGGGATATGTGCCTACCCCTGTCAAAGGGATATTGTAAAGATTACTTACTGTGCTTTGAACATATGTCTCTATAAATATGCCTTACTATAGATTTTTACATGAAGTACTAACATTCAAATCTAGACTGTTGAATATCCATGGAGACTGAGGTAAATCTTAGATTCCTAAAGCATTCCTTTCAAACCTAAAGATCAGTTGCATCCTGTACATTCCTCTTTAGCATAAGCCCTCAAGAGTCCCATTTAGAGCATGGAATAGCGTGGATTTTTATTGGTTCTGGATTTTTTCATTTACAGAATTATAGAAAGATTAATGTATATTTCTCCTGACTTTAATGTGCAGTGCTTCAATTATGTATACACTAATATGTATGTGGAGTTCTGCATAATGAGGTAAATGCCAGTAAGTGTTTTATTTTGATCATATATACATATATTCAAACAAACCCTCTTGGGGTGCAGGGATATTTAAATCATTCATTGAATAAATTATAGATTTTTATCTTGACCATAGCATACAAAACTGCTTAGTGTAGTGTTATGATTACTCTTGTCCATTAACATTCTTAAAGAAATTCAGCCATAACCCAATCCTTCATGTATAATTGTGTATTCAACCTACCATTGAAGGCTGACTGCAAACTAAGCGGAGCTGGATCTGCCCACTTGGTTGGATGGGAGACTGTCTAGGAAAACGTGGGAAATGTACAGTACTGAACAAATGTCCAAGCCTAGTTTGGATGTACTGTCTTTCAAACAAAATGCAACATTAAGGCCCTGACCACAGTGAAGCTGTTAATCTTTTGGTACTTCTAGCAAGACTAAGCACATTAGCACCAGTGTTCTAACTAATTTCCACTTGGGTAATTTTATTAATGAAATTCTCGCTGGAGTTCCAATTTGATATAGTATTCTTTCTTACTCTCTTTTCAAACTGCTGTGTAGTGTTGCTACATGGTGTTAGGAGAGACCACATTTCACTATTGGGTGATGTGAATCCTGAAATATATAAATGTAGGTGCAGGTATATACTCTGAAGTTGAGTTAGAGAATGGGATTGTTCTGAATGAAAGGCACACTGTAAACATAATTTATTTCGCCAACCATGTTTTGTACATAATTGATCCTGGGTCACACACTGTTGTACTCTCCTTTACTTCCTGTTTTTGAATTGTTTAAAAGGACACTATCAAGGTGTATCACCTAGCTTTTAAAATTACTTCATACTCTTCATGTATAAAACCTTTTGGAAGTTCAGTACTAAAACTTGTTTCCTTATAGATGTTTTTTTTTCCCCTGCTCCCTTGACCACTGATTTGTTATTAGCTTGCTATTGGGATGGACTGCTGCCAAGTTTTTAATATATCAGCATTGAAGCATTTGAGCAGGTGGTAGATTGGGGGGTGATTTGGGGAAGGAGAAGTGGATACAGTATCCATGTGTATGAATGAATAAATAAAAATAACGAGCTTTACAAACATAAAGGGGGAAGGAAAAAAGGTCAAATTTCAGGACTATTAACCCTAATCTTGTCCTTAGTTATTATTAGTTAACCAGTTTTTTAAGGAAGGACTTATTTCTGTTTAATTAGAATGCATTTTCTGCATTTTGTGTGAGTGAAGGACTTCTAAGGAAAGAATGAACAGATTTATGACAAATATGCAGTAACTATTTAAAAAAATAACTGATTATCCACTTCAAGTGCTAAAACCATAACTACTTCTGTTCAGAAACTTCCCTAATCTTTAGGGATATCTCTGCTTCCATGAGCAGAAGGGAGCCCTAACCCCTTAATTCAGGCCCAGAGGAAGCATGAAAAAAGTAGTAGTATTGGTTGCCTGCCATAAGTCCTCTGTTCATGCATTTTCTCCTAGACCAAATGGAAGCCCAGCCTCAAATTTTCTATGGATTAGGGCCAAGGGAACAAATATTCTTCATGACATATTCCACCCCTAAACTCACTGAGCAACTCAACTGAATTCCTCTGCATTTTGGAAACCCACACTCTGAGATGCTCCAGGGAATGTCAGTCCGAAGGGCTGGGTATCTCTGGTAGAACAGCTTCTGTACGGTCTAAATGATAGTACAGCGACCACGGTGTCCTCACAGATGGCCCCTACCTATGGTATCATGTGGATCTGCTAAATTAGGGGGCTCAACCCCCTCAGCCTTTTCTGTTAGAAGGTTCACAAATCATGCACCTGAGAGCAGAGTGAGAAAAAAACTGACTTGAAAGTTGAAGAGTTTCCATTCTCTTGGTCTGGGTTCTTCTATAACCCCCCAGCATAGTACCAGAGTTCCTCGCTTAACCTAAGTGAATTCATCTTTGCAGCATCCCGTGAGGAAGTTAAGTATTAGTATTCCCATTTTATGGATGAACCGAGACTTATGCTTTTTCTCAGCTGCCTCTTATTTTATGGGAAGTTTCTGCAATATGTACGTGCAGAACCTCTATGCTATCCTCCTTCATATCTCTCCTTAAAACTCACCTGTGTTTTGATATCAATAAGCACTCAATAAAGGCTATGCATGTGATGTGCTGTGACTGCTGCTAATTTATACTGAACATAATTGCCTTGCTATTGCTTGTCTGCATCCAGCTGTTGTCTCCTCTTATACTTTGATTGTAAGCTCCTTAGTATTTCCTTTCAATGGAGTTTCATTTAATGTTCCCTACTCCTTGTATTACAAGATAGGGCAAATAGAAGTTCTCTAGCTGCTTATTCAGTTCCATTCATTATTTTGTATGCTTTTATTGTCTTATTTGTCTTTTCTTTATGGTAAACAGTCCCAGTTTCTTTCAGTATCCTTTCTGAGATGAGGTGACCTCTGCAATATTGTGTTCGGTATTGGTCACCCCAGTTTCAGAAAGGATATTGCAGAATTAGAGGGAGTTCAGAAACTAGCAACAAGATTATATGGGGCATGGAAAAATTCTCACATAGACTGTAAATATTGGGATTGTTTACTTTAGAGATCAAACAAATAAGAGGGGACATGATAAAAGTATACATCAGTAATGAATGGTATTGAGAAATTAGATGAGGAACTCCTGTTCTCCATGTCTAATATACAAACACAAGGGGCATCCAACGAAACTGAAAGGTAGCAGACTCAAAACTGATAAAAGGAAATACTTTTTCAAACCACCGAATGGGTGAAAGTTACTGGTTAAGCACCTGGAACTAGTTTATTGAAGTGCTAAACCAGCTTTTGACAGCAGTAGGCTTTTCTGCAAGGGCAGAGAGAATATTTTCTTCATTTCAGTTTATTGAACTATTTCAGTTCTATAACTATTTCTTTCGGACTGTTAAGAAACCAATTGGAATTTGAAAAAGCAAGGAAGCTTGTTTTCCTCTTCCAGTGTTGCAATAAAAACTAGATGTGAGAGGATGAGATCTACTAGTTTTAAAATCTGAAGTTCATAGTGACCAGAAGCAGTCGGTTCAGTTCACTAACTACAGATATGTCCTTTTGTTTAATAAATCAGTTAGTTATAAATAAGGCTACATTTGAGTCAGAGGTATTTTTAGTAAACGTCATGGACCGGTCACGGGCAATAAACAAAAATTCATGGCCTGTGACCTGTCCATGACTTTTACTATATACCCCTAACTAAAACTTGGGTAGGGGGCTGCAGATGCTCTGAAGGGGGATGGTCCAGGGGGACCACAGATGTTCTGGGTGGGTGGCCTGGGACCCCTGCTGGTGCTGGGAGGGAGGGGCTGGCAGTGGCGCATGGCCCAGGACCCCTGCTGGTGCTGAGGGGGAGGGTTGGTGGGGCTGGCAGGCTCCCTACCTGACTCTGTGTGTCCCTGCAACTCCTTGGGAGGAGAAGGGTAGGAGGGCTCCACGCTCTGCTCCTGCCACAAGCGCCGGCACCACAGCTCCCATTGGCTGGGAACCACAGCCAATGGGAGCTGCACGGGCGGGGCCTGCGGGCAATGCGTGGAGCCCCCTGGCCCCTCCGCCTAGGAGCTACAGAGACATGCTGGGGGGGGAGCCCCCCACCGCGAGGTAAGCTCCACCCCTCTCTCCAACCCCCTAGCCCTGAACCCCCTCCTACACACCCAAACTAGCTGCTGCTGGCCCAGGGGCTGCCTGGCAGTCCCTGAGCCAGCACCAGCCATTGCAGAAGTCACGGAGATCATGGAAAGTCCTGGAAAGTCTCCAGCACACTTAAGCATAGTTGCCAACTTTCACGTGGTAAATAAGCACCCTAACTTTCACAATAAGCCAAAAATCAAGCTAATCCCATTTCAAAACAAGCCAGTCCCTAAGAACCCCAACACTCTATGTGACTAGATCCCCCCGGCGTGCAGTCTGGGGCTGTGGTGGGTCTGCTGTGCACCCGACTTTCTCCCTTGCTTGTCGTCCCCCCTGTCGCCCCCCCCCCTCCCCGCCGGGAGCCAATCAAAAAAAAAAAAAAGAATCTACAAACCAAACAAGCTACTAGCCAAAAACTAGCCAACAAGCAACTCTCACACCAATTAAGCCAAAACCAAGCCCAATTTCTGCAGTTTTTTTCCGTGGGTTTGGCATGTCTGATTTAAGGTCGTTTAATTGAACTAATAAAAAAAGCTGGTTTTGCCCATTGAATTCTAATTTCCATCCAAATAGAGCTTAACACAAATCACAAATAAACTAATCTAGTAAATAAAAAATGGATCATATATCCATTTTACAAAAAGGCATCCATTTTTTAAAATATAAAAATTAAGAATCTGAAAAAATATATGTTAATCTATATAATTGTTTAAAGAAATGTGTATAGACATACTGTATCTTTCTGGTTAGCAAAAAGGACCAAATTTAATGTAAAGGCTTTATTTAGTTGCAGTTCAGCATGGTTACAAACAAATGAGATTCAGCTTTTCTTTAGGAAAATGTCTAAAGTGCAAATGCAGAGCAAGATTAAAATCAATTATTTAAATGAAGGTTTCCTGCTTCCTGATTTAATCATGATTACCATCAGTGATTTAAATTGCTTTCATTTAAATCAATCCACCCTGCACAGGATGTTGTAGAAGTCAGGAATTTAGCAAGATTCAAAGAAAGATTGGATATTTTGTAGGGCTAACAAGAATAGAACTATTATAGTAGATACTAAAAGACTTCATAAAGAATATAAAACTTCATGCTCCCTGGGGAGCAGTTATCACATATGTCTACTGTGGGATTTCTTGCACCTCCTCTGAAGTCTATGTTGCTGTAGAGGAATCCCCAGTTTGACGCACCTGAACAGCAGGTGCCAATGCCAGGCCTCAAGCCTACACCATTACTGTGTTGCCACAGGCCTTTCCCTTCATTTACTTCACTCTTCCATGGAGGTCCTTCTGTATAATACCTTCAGACCTTGAACAACATAATCCTCCCCAAAGTCCCCTTGCCTTCTTTTCTGCTTGTCTCTAAGCCTCTTAACAGGTCCTTCCCACAGCTTGTCCTTTCTGCTGCCCTAGCTGCCTTAATGGAGAGCCCCACTCCAGGTTTTTCCTCATGTCTAGTGTTTCTTAGAGCCATTGTGGAAAGCATAAAGCACAAACTGCTCCCATGAGGCACTGCAGACAGAACTATACAATTTTATATAGTGCTGCCTTTCCCAGCATTCGTTGCTATCCCACCCCCCATTCTGAGCTGAAGTCAGGTATATATGCTTGCCATTAAAGACCCAGCACCACTACAGTACCTTAGATTTCTGTTGCTATATTTTTATTGAGGACTGTGCTCCGCAGCTTTTCAAAGATTCCCCTCTCTATCTTGCTCTACAATATTAGTGTGTTTACCATTTGCAAGGTTGGCTGGTTCTGAACTTTATTCCATGGAGCCAACTAAATCTTCATGAATCTCAAGTATTTCGGCAGAGGTTAACCTCCCCTATAACTGAGGGACTTGTTTGCTGTTGGCAGCGATGGGAAAGGATTGTTTGCTTTTAATCGTTGCTCATAAGCGAAAACTTTATAGCAAACTTATTTTCATTAATAGTGAAAGATGGCTCTCATCACCAGCCAATCTTTATAGAACTATGAAAAAGTTATGTCAATCTTGGTTTAGCAAAATTTCCATTAGATGCCAGCTGTGTTCTAAACCCTTTTTGTGGTAACTGGCTGTGAGCTCCCACCATAAGCATTAATGCATTTCTTCTGAAGTACTGCTTCAGTAAGCAAAGACAACTCCATTAGAAAGTATTTTGAAATTATTCAAGAATGGATGGTGGTGGCTTTTGCATTGCAACCTGTATGTTATTTGATCATCTGCTTCACAAGATAAGTTGAGCTTACCCCTTGTAAAAGTCTGTTATGCAGATTGTGCTAGATCATATATAAACTGAAAGCACTATCTCCTGGCAATGGGGAAAAGTTCTGAGACCTGATTTGTATGGTAACTGAAGTACTAACTTAACTGTGTCCCTGTATGTAATTTAACAAGATGCTTCCATTTACCATTTCAGGTCCCATTGAAATCAATCAGACACGTCAGCTTTCAGGATGAAGAGGAAATTGTTAGAATAAATCCTCGTGATATTTTAATACGTCGTTATGCAGACTACAGACATCCTGACATGTGGAAAAATGATCTGGAGAGGGATGAGGCGGACTCCAATATACAGTTTTCTAAGTCCGACAATAAAAAATCGGACTATCTATATCCATGTGTGGATGGGACTAAGCTGAATTCACTAAAAGACCCGAAGAGTTCTGTGGTATTTAAAACACAGCCTTCCTCGTTAAAATTTAAAAAGTCAAAAAGAAGGAAAGAGGATGGTGAGCGTTCTCGCTGTATATACTGCCAGGAGAGATTTAATCATGAAGAGAATGGCAGGGGGAAATGTCAGGATGCTCCAGATCCTATTAAAAGATGCATATACCAAGTTAGTTGCATGCTTTGTGCAGAGAGCATGCTATATCACTGCATGTCAGACTCTGAAGGAGATTTCTCTGACCCCTGCTCATGTGACACTAGTGATGACAAGTTCTGCTTACGATGGTTAGCCCTGATAGCTTTGTCATTCATTGCCCCATGTATGTGCTGCTACCTCCCCTTGAGAGCATGCCATCACTGTGGTGAGGTGTGTGGGTGCTGTGGAGGAAAGCATAAAGCTGCTGGATGAACAGTCTAGTGCCAAATAGAGCTGAAAATCTTTGTTTCCAGGAAGCATCTATCTTGGATTTGTGGAAGCCTTTGGCAAGAGGAAGGAAATCTTCTCGTGTAAGAGAAGCCTGATGTGGAAGAAGCAGCAAGACTTGTCAGACCTTAGCATTTTACAAATGCTAGTAGCCATGCTTAACTATTTCCTTTCAGTGCATGGTGTTTCGTTGCAAGTTACGAAGGAGTTTGGAAAAGGAAGCCTTTTCTTATTATTGGCTATAAAATGAGTATATAAACTACAGTTATACTAAAAGGGATTAACTTTTGCCATTTTGTACATTCATGGTTTAGGTGATGGGGCTCTTAAAAGAATTACAAATTATTTGAGAGGAAATTAAAAGTGCACTAATGACAGTTGATTTAAGACTAAGAAAAGTTAATACTTGGCAAATGAGAAATGAAACTGATTTAAGTGCAACTAAATCACTTATTAATAGATTTTTGGAAGCAACTTTATATATAAATAACAAATGTTTATATTTAACTAAATGTGTAAGGTACGAATTATTACATATTAAACTTTCCTTCCCCCTTCCAGTTATATAGTAGGTATGAATCATATCTACAATCACATTCCATAATAGTATTTTAAATATTTAATTAGTTTATTTAGTAGCATTTCTATTCCAGATGGACAAATTGGTATTTTCAGACCTATTTCCCGTCAGCTACAGTTTGTATTGAGTTGTATCCATGCATTCTGGTAATCTCTAAAAACCTTTAAAATATTAATTATTATAGTCTTGAGTGACCAATATTTTTTTGTTAAGCACAGATGTAAGTGTCTAAAATGTTCTAATAAGAACACATTTATTTTTCTATATAAATTACTTTGGTTTCAACAATTATAGCAAAAGAAGTTGTTTTCTGTTACTCAACCAGCAAGTTGTTTTCTTTTGGGGTGTCTTCCAAAAAATATTTTATCGCATTTACAAATGTTCAGCAAAGCAAAAGGTCCAATAAGGCAGTTGTAATGGTATGTCATCAGTGTTCTCCATTTATCCTTCTGTTAAACTAAGATTATATGTTCAACTGTTTATCATGTACGACGATTAAACTGAAAGATTAATAATTAACAAAAATTGAAATTGTTTTCATTATTTTGAATTGTAGCATCTTTTTATTTAAACCGGCAAGAATAAAATTATTCTGTGTTTAAAAATAAATTAACAACTTACAGCCCCTGAAAAATTGGAGTAAACTTTTTTTGAGAGTGAGTGTGTGTGTGTCTGTCTGTCTGTGTCTGTGTGCACACACACAAAAGGTATATAAAATTGGCCATGGTATTATATTACTAAATGTTTAATTTACAGAACAGTTGGTCAAGTATTCTAACAGGTTAACTGTTAGAGAATTTTTAAACAAGTTGTTATGACTCTTATTACATGGCATAACAAAATACATTCACTCATAATGTTTAATTAATGTCATGTTAAAATTCTAACAGAAGTAAAGGCCTTCATTCATTTAGGAAGATATCCCAATAGGGTTGGAGTGGGAAGGAATGTCCTTTGTACACCTTTCCTATAAAAAGTTGCATAGTTGATTTTTTTTTTAAATAACCTTAATTTTCTATGCATTTTTCCCAGTGTGGGTGTATGTACCTTTTCTTTCTTACATATATTAAAGCTTTTGTTAGTTCTCTTCTGTAGTCCAGGAATCAAATTCTGAACAAATGTATATAACACTATCTGTCTGTAAAATACTTTTTTAAAGAAAACATTTATATTTATATGACAGCTCAAATTGACAGCATTGTGTACATAGAGCATCTTGAAGTATTATTTCACATTGAAAAGAAGACAAATATATTGATAACTGTAGAAGTTATGAAAGAGCTTCTAGTTTTGTACTAAAAATTGATTGGATAAACTAAATCCAAGAATATGACACTGTAGCAGCAGTCTTAAGTATCGTTTTTACTGTTTATATATTTGAAAGCTGCTACTCTGGATGATTTTCATGCTTTACGTGTTTTCAGATAAACTTGGTTGCCTAGAATAGACTGTTACTTAAACTATTCATTAGTGAAATGGGAATGTTTTCCTTGTGAATAAAAAATAATATTTGTAAGTGCTAGGTTTTTAACAAGATTGAGCGAGGTATGAACAACCTAAGAAAAGAACTTGCTGGCTGTATAGGAAAATACTGTAGAATTGTATTGTGTATATACTTCAGGAAAAAATGAGTTTAACAATTTCCTCTGAGCACTATTCAACATAGTGCAACTCCTGGTCCTGTACTGTATTTTATATGCAACATATATGCTTTAATAATTTTACTGAATGTGTGCAGTAATATTTTCAATTTGCATTTAACCACTTTGCTGCTAAAATTTTGTCCCCATCCTTTCCTTTACTCTTTTAAAAAATTCAATCCATTTAAAAAAAAAAAAACCTTAATGCCATTATCATCTTTTTTCACCATGGGTCTTTCTAGCAGTTCACCCAATTTAAGACTAATTAAAAGAATTACACTGACACATGGGTTGGAAGTAGTAGAGCACAGAGATGTATGCCTCTCTGTACTGTTTGGGTTCTTATTCACTTTTGGAGGCACTTTCTGAGTATCCAAAAATAGACACTTTGCAAAACCATTCAGAGACTGTCCCTTGCATCCCACCCCTTGTCTGTGGCACTGTTAAGTGACATTTACCTTTCCTTCTGAAATCTTTTCTCAAGTTTTTGAAAGGGAAGAGGGAAACTTAATACAATTTTTTTTTTCTGAAAAGTCAGAAGTCAAATTTTAGTCATGTGACTTTGTAACAGAGCTCTGTGCTGCCATATGGGAGACCTAAGTTTTAAGAAACCGCCATAGAAGATTCACTTTCCTGGCATGGTGAACTCTACAGTTATGAAAAGAAAGCATTTAGTCTCCTGGGGAAAGAGGTCAACTGTAGCACTTTGGCACCACCTACTGGAAAAACTAAAGGCAAGCGTGATTACATAGCCCAATCATGTATTGTAGCTATATTCCTGTACAAATTGCCAGCTAAATACAACAGTACATTGTTTGAGGTATGAATTTAGTAAAAACTATCCTAAACTGGAAGTGGGAATAAGAACCCTTACTCTGATTCCTGAGATCTTATGCCTTTTAAAAGTTTCCATTACAGCTGACTTTAAAAATAAAATAGTGTTTGCTAGAGTACAAATTTGCAAAGTGGACCATAGATTATATGAGACGGGCCTAAAATATAAAATTGTGTCACTAAAATCAAGATAATGGCTAAAATCATGACTGAAAAAAGTGTTCTACCAGTGGACATCCAAGAATAACTGGGTCGGGTTTTTTTTGCCTTTGTTTGGGATTTTTACTAGTTACAAGATGGTGGTACAAACACTTACGTAGATAGAGGAATTTAATTCTTTGGGTAACTTTTTTTAAACAAGCACACCATCAGTCCAACAGTTGTGAGGTGGGGTGCCTATAATCTTCTAAGCAAGATTAAAACAAAATACTGAGAAACCTCTGATAAGTAATTGTTTGTAGAACAGCACAGTAAATGGTTGCATAAAATTCACAAGTGTCCAGAGCAAAGTAAGGGATGCTTAGTGCATGAGTTATGCTCTGGATAAACTATTTCAAAGAATGCATAGATTTTTGCATGTTGAAATGTAGCACTCCCATTTCTGATTTGTTCTCTTTTGGATGATCTTTCCATGTGTACTTAGAGGATAATGTTGAAAACCCCCATGTAAATAATGCACAATTTTTAAATTGGAGTTTACATTTTCACAGAATTTACACCACTGTATGTGGACAGTACCGTGATGCATACGTATTCATTAAAGAAATAAAATATCAAGATAAGGATTACCAGAGGGGGGGAGAAAGCCTTATGGTACTGTTAGTCAGCAGCCAAGTGGTTAAAACTTCCATATGCTTTGGTGCACTGATAAACGTAAGCATTTTTTTCTTAAAGCTTCTTAAATTGCAAACGTTGTTGTTAGTTTTGAGATTTCTAAAGCATTACCTAGTGGAGAAACAGTTGTATTTGAAGCTACAGTATAATCTGTACATAGATTTTCATTTGTGAAGACTGCCTCTTCTTTTGCGTAGTGCCATTTGCTTTCCACCTAACGACCTCAAAAAGTGCCTCACTTGTATATTATTTCCATTAAAATCTTAACAGCTATTTCTTTCTATTAAATGATGTATGATTTAGTTTAACTCATGTCATAGATGTATTTCTTCTATGTATAAGAATATAGCTTGTTACTTTTGAGTATATAATGTAAATATGCATATATAAGTTTGTAACTGTTTTGTTACATCATACACTTGTAAGTTGACATCAGATAATATCATACAACAGTTTCAATGTTTTTCTGCAATTACCTGATTAAAACTATCATGAAATTAAACTGCTGACATGTTTTTTCTATTGTCTTTTGGGGCTGTTCAGAACAAACAGTACATAAGAAGTTAAGTATTGTTGCTGGAGAGGAGAATACATATAGCATTAATATTTACTAATTAAAGTGTAATCAAATCTCTAATACACTTGAAAAGTTACCAAAGTATTACTTTGAAGCTCTTGCATTCTTTACTCTATCAGTTTTAAAGGTGTTACTATTATGCCTTAATCAAATACTTGCCTGTTCCAGATTACTCCGTGTACATAAATAGTACAACATGAATCGTACCTGCAGTCATACTATGGAGCTGACTGGTTTTAGGTTTGCTGTTTATATCAGGTTTGTTTGTTTGAACTTCTGTTGAACCAGTCAAGACAATTAACCACTTTCATTAAAACCTTATGTTTGGATTTTAATTTTTAGATTTTTCACAAACATATTAGAACAATGAACGCTCGCTACAGAAGGAAAAATTGAATAGGATAGAAAAAAATTAAATTAGCAAGTATATGAAGGACAAAAATCTGTTCAACAAAGAAGAAATTCAGTGGAAGATGGACCTATAGAAAGCATCAACGTTGGATATGATTTGAAAGGTCAGTTGTCAGAATTTAGTACAGACTGTTCTAAATTGAATTCCACGTGCCTCTAGCTCTTGCAAATGCTTTCACATTTGTTACACATGATAAAGTACTCTCTAGAGGGGCTTTGCTGCATGCTTCTTCAAATTATTCCCGTGTGTGAATACAGCCACTCATCTAACAAATACCTGAGGATAGTTGGTCTAGTTATGGTCAAAAGGACTGAGCATAGCTGACTTCCTGGGGCAGCTAATAGATGGAAAAGGTAGATGTTGCCATAAAAGGGAAGTAGGCAAACTAACACAGAGACTAGTAAGTTTGTGGTTTTCTACAACCTTGGGGTTGGGGGAAGAGTACCCTGGGGGAAATTCCAAGTTGAAATGCATAAGAACAAAAGGACATTTGACGTAGTGTTCCATCAGGGTCTATAAGAATTAAAAATGTAGGTGGTGCCTACTGTCTGCCTCAAGAAATCCATCTCTACCATTCCCACTGTAAACTCATAGATAACAAATACCTTTGCCCTTCTAAAAACAAAACAAAAGGCTAGATGTGGTTGCTTTTAGCGTTATGAGTAAACTCAGGTTCTGGGGTATCAAAAGATTAAATCTAGAACTGAAGGCAACACATAACATACTCTGTAGCTTGCAGCTAGAAGTCTGAGAGGACAAGAGTGCAAAAACTTTCCAGCTGGTCTTAATTGCTTTGCAATTACTGTACAGAGTATGATGTACTTTTAACAGTGTGTAGACAGACATTCATGTCAGCAAGAGACCTTACTATATGTTGTATTGAAAATAAATTTTAAAAAATCCTGAAATCAAATAAAAGGTGTGTGTAACAAAACAAATTAGATTCACTCTGGAAAAAACAAATTTGAAGTTGGAGTAGTATGAAAGACTAAGAACTATGTTTATATTTATGTACAAAGAAAATAGAAACACTACCTTGAAAATCTGACTGGTAGCTTTAATCTTTATGCCTTGATCTAAGAACTTAATGGTGTGAGCAGGGAATGTTTCCAAATTTCCAAAGTAGCTGAAATCGTCATCCATCTCAGTGGTTTGCTGTCTGTCAGTGAAAGTTGCGAACAGTAGCTGTTGCCAAACTCCATTCCTTAAAGAGTCATATCAGCCCAATGAATTATTGGGAACATATATTTTAAGTAAGATATCAGTTTCAAATAAACAATGTACAGGAACTATTTCACATATGCATCATGCCCATTCTTAGGGATCTGGAAGGCCATGGTGGATTTTCTTGTGTTTGGCAATGACAAAAAAACAGACAGCAATGTAAATACCAACTGAAATGCCTAGAGAGCAAGGAAAGGTGAACCGAAATGTCAACATGGATGCGGAAGCAAAATCCACATGTAGAGCCCTGAGCGGATACAAAATTTGTATCCACATCCAATCCACAAAAATGGATTGCAGGTTTCTAGATTAAAAATTTGTTTCCGCATTTGATGTGTGGATATCCAGATGTGAGCCCTATCCATATGTAGGTAACTCGCTTTCAAAACTTACGAAAACCAGCACAGCATGAAAACAGAGAAATCTTAAGTAAAAGCTACTGCTGAGTTTGACCCCCTTAAAAAATTTTTTTGTTAATAGAAGTAAAGGTTTAAACACATACCTTGGGAAAATCCATACTAAACCTATCTGACTTGACAATCTCACACAGAGAGCTATTTCAGGATATAGCATGACTTTGAGGGAAAACATGCAGATTTAATTAAAAGTAGTGCACTTAGAGCTGGAAAAAAAATCTTTTATTC